AAAAAAAAAAAAATTATATTATTCATCAAAACGTCAACATTTTTACTATAATTTACTCAGCATCTTTCAATACAATTTTTGAAGTATAATTTTTAAATAAAAAATAAAAATATTGTTGCATATTTTTCTATCAACACAAATTTTTGTGTGATTCAATCAAACAATTAAATAGGTTGGATCGTCATGTTCATTATAATAAATAATCTATAAAATATAATATTTAATTCACTCACATATTTTATATTTATGAATCATTTATATTTTTATATCACATTATAATAATTATTATTCTTATATTTAAATTAAAATAATCATTAATTTCTCCATTACATTCGCATTATTGATAAATACAACTGACTAATGTATTCCTGATCATAAATTGTTATTCGCATTATTTACACGTTAGTAAAAGCCTGTGTGCATGTACAGAAACATAAATATTATAAGATAATAATAAATTATATATACATATCATATTTTATAAATTTGATCATTAATAACAATGAACTAATGACAAAACTATTTTACTTATATATGAATCACCATAAAAATGACACAAAATATAATGAATAATGTACTTACACAATTAAGACATCCAAACCAATTACTTGATTGAAAGAAAGAAAAAAACTAAATTATTATTATTATTATTGTTGTTATTATTATTATCATCATCATTTATTCAGTTTTAAGGAGTTTGCTATTCCATCAAACCAATAAACTATAATTATTAAATTAAAAAAGAAATTGAAGAAAATAATTTGCTATAATTTTTTTTATAACTATATAATTTGCATAAACTTTTAGTGTGAATTTTTAATTAATTAATATTAGTAGTAAATATTATGTGATAAATAAATAAAAAATATTAGGTTATAATAAAATGAAAAAAAAATATATAAATAAAAATTAATAATGATATAAATTTAAACCTCTTTTGAGGAAAACTAAAATATCTTTATTAATTGCTCTGCTAATAATTATATATATCTAAGATTAATCTATATATATATAAAAAGATTTACCATTTTTCAAAAATGGCAGGTCAATTTTTGGTCAAATCTCTTTCTTCATTAATTATTTACTATTAATGGAAACTTCTTTTCCTTTTTCTTTTTTTCACGTTCAGCTTTAAATGCCCACAAAATGCGGGAGATTTTCAGAAATTAATTTGGTATAAACATTTCCAAAAAATGCGGCTCAATTTCTTATAATGAATACTACTCACTTTAATGATTACTATTCACTTAATTTGTTTTTTTTACATAATATTGCATAAAATTTTATTCGAAAAATGTATGAATACAATTATATTTGATATTTGACTTTTTTTTTATAACACGTGTATTAATACTTTTTGACATGACATAAAACTATTTTTTTTAATAATTATAATTTTTTAAGCATGTGTTTTTATGGATACATTTTTATTTCTAATTACCTAACATATAAGTTAGTAACACGATTTTTGTTTTCCTGTAAAGAATCCTAATTTTAAGGGAAATATAAAATTATATATTTTTTTAATTAGCTCTATTTTTTATGTTTAAAAAAATTAAAAAAATTTATTGTTTTCATTTGTTGGGACTCTTTTAAAGGGTTTTATATTCTAGATATCTAAACAAAATTATAGTTATAATTTCACATAACCTCTGTTTGTTGTAAACAAATCCAATTTATATGGAATTCTAAAATTAAAACCGTTTTTTATGTTTAATTAAATTTAAAATTATATTGTTTCCAAGTTTTGGGATTCTTTTTTTCAGTTTTGGCGTTTTTTTTTTAAAT